CATTTAGCATCATTCTGTTGCATTTTACAGGGTGTTTACTTGTCGTACCCATAACAAATCTTTATAGTTTGGCTTGGAATATGCACATGATACCTTTAATAGGTCTCTCAAACATTTTTTTATTAGTTTCCCCCACATCTTCATTTATTTATTCATTAAATTTCCCATAGCCCTTCGATGTTGGGGTTGTATTACAGAGTGTTTATTAGTCGTATCTAAGCAACTTTTTGTGGGTTTGGCTCTAAACATGTTATCCTTTTCTTTTATTTTTAGTATTTAAAGTCTCAGTCTAGCCTTAAGCTATTTATATGGGGCATCTGCTAGTCTTATCAACTTGCAGTCAAACAAACGAATGTAAATAATAATGCAAATTTTAAATAGTTATTAACTTACATAAGTATCCATTCTGCAACTTCTCCAATAAAGTTTTTGGCTAACAAATTTTGATAACTTTTGCCTTTCAATTGGTCTCTGGCGTATAAAAATGGTTCCAATCTTTGAAGCATGTGAGAGAAAATGTTGCATACTTTCTGGCATAGTTTGAAATAATAGTATTCCTATGTTAGTCTAAACTTTCTCTTCCAAGCAGATTCGGCAACTAAAAACTGAATAATTTATTTAAAATTAAAGCCAAAAAATAAAGTTTCTCCAACTTACACGAACTGCATTGCTTTATCCATAGATTTAGATTTTCTTTTTAATTCATTTGTATGTCAATGTACATTATATTGTATTTCTCTCAAGATTTTCCAAGAGCTTGGTTCAAATGCCATCTTGTTTTCATAATTTTAGAAGAGATATATGCTAACTAAAATTTATATATGAAAGTTTCCTAACACACACACACCTGTCATCAAACTATAATTTATTAATGCATCATTTTATATACTATATATCTAAATATATTTTAACACAATAAATCGTAATTTTCAATAGTGAACATTCACGTTTTTTTTTATTATAAAATTTAATGAACTTTCAACTTAATTGATCTTCTGTTTATATCTTATGAAATATTACAAAATATATATATTTATATATATGTATATATAAACATATAGATATAGTTGATATATCGTATAACGCACATTGATTCGTAATCCTCTCGCATAATTACGCCTATTCGCTTTATCGTGTTTTGCAAGCAAACTCGTAAATCATATTTAAAAATTTGAACTAATGTTAATAATACGATACGATGCACATGAATAATTACAACATAGAGTAATAAAGTAGATAAAACAACAGTTAATAATTTAAGCCGAATTGTACAATCTTGACAAAATGTAAATGTCGAAATTAAACTATAAAATTTGATATTGAACAAATTGTTCATCACGAATTTGGTAAATTAGATAAAAACAAACGAAATGAAACTGAATGGAACCTACACTCTGTGAAGCTGTGTGTGTGTGTGTGCAATTGTATATGGGTGTGTGTGTGTGTGTGTGTGTGTGCAGGTGCAGCTGCATATGTGTGTTTAAAGTAGACTTAGCTAGCTTATGATGTATTGTTGCTGTTTGCTTGTCCCTTTGATTGTTGTTGTTGTTGTTTTTGTATTTTGTTTTCGGCTCTACTGCGCCGGCGCTGGCTGCGGCTGTGGAGCCAGGCGACTGACGAATCCAATGCCTCCACGAATGATCTTGCTAATTACGGGCGGAGAGCGAGAGGCCAGCGCCTCAAAGGTAATGCGCAGCTCGGCAAAAGCAGTGCGGGGATAGGGATTGCGGCGCGAGCTGTAACGCATGACCAGATAATGATAGTAGATGATTGGCGTCATCAAACCAGCGTGAGCCCTGTTGCAAAAACAAGAAGCGATATTATTAGCAAAATATTTAAAACAATATATGTATATCTTAATATGAATCGAACTAACGGCCCATTCAATTCAATGTGGAATGACCATTGAATAGAAATACAAATTGTTTGTCTAAACTCAATGAATGCAGCGTTAGCTTTTGGGATTAAATGCTCAAATTTCGATCCAAATACATATGCATATATATAATTAATCAACTTACATAAAAGTTAACACAATGACATAAGGCATTATGAAAATCTCGCAGAATGCGGTAGCCTTCAGTATATTGGCGGCCTGGAATTCCACAATTGAGATAATGAAACGTGCGCCCCACCAAGAATTCTGACCAATCAGCTGAAAGGCAACAAAATGA